CAAACAAAACACACATCGTCCCAAGAAGGTCATCGTCCCAAACAAACCAAACACACACATCGTACCTTCTTAAACATCGAACTGTTTTGGCCGTCCCAAGTTCAGCTCCATTCTCTCCGGTGAGGCCGGGTTCGAGTCCGCGAGTCCGGCGGTGAGGCGAGGCGGCCGGAAGGAGCCGGGTTCGCGTGGGGACGGTGTGGGACGGTGACAAGAGAGTTTTCTCGTTGAACACGGGGGGGGTTATAGTGGGTAGCAAGAAGACATCAAAGCATATCTGATATCTGACACATCTGAGTCGATAGGTTTAGTCTTTGGAACTACTGGTTGCCACATATTCCCCCTGGTTTATAAAAGCCACCCAGTGGAGCAGAATGAGAGGAAGCCTGTGAAGGATATGGAAGATTGATTAGAAGCTCCTTGTACAGTCGATGATGTGGCCTGGCTACATCGCCTGCCGCCTGCTCATCCATCTCCGGATCTTATAGCAACCCGAAGAACCAATCACCCTTCATAGATCAAGAATCGAGATCAATCACCAACAACCCCCTTGTGGAATTCTTTTCTACGGAGCTTGATGTTAATTTTCCTGAGGCCCGACATATGATCATTAAACACAACTACACTTACACCATACTATACCAACTATACCTCCAGCAACGCATGTACCCTTGGTAACTAACCAAGTATACCATTCATTCACTGTTTCACTAACCTAGCAGACTCACACCAATCAAATTCAGGGTCTTCCCACCACTGGGCGCCAGCTTCTCCGAATTCACACCCGTTCCCCCGCCTCTCGGCGCGCCATGGGCTGGCACCATGGGCTGGCACCATGCGGCGTCGCTGGCGGGTCGTGGGCGGCACCAGCTCGGGGGGGCTCTTAGTTCGGGAAGGCACGGCGGTAGTCGGCGGGGCGCGCGGTGGCCATGCGTGGCGCCGTTGGCCACGGCCCGGCCCATTCGGTGCAGCGGGGGGGTTAGGAACAGGGTAGGAATAGGAATCATCATGAATCATCTTGTTGTTCTTTTGGGGGGACGGAAAGGATTCTGGATAGAAGGGTGAGAACTTGTTGCGGCAGCTTGTTTTTGTGTGTTTCTGTGCTTGTTGAAGACAGACAGTTTCTGAGCTTTTTAGAGGCAGACGTTGGGATTTACAAACAAAATAATGTATGGAGGAAATATGGCTTGGAATTTGGAGAGTATTGTTTTGGGAACTTATAATGCAGGACAAATACATATATTAATATGTTTGTTTTGAGAGGGATTGTTTTCAACAAAGCAAGTTTGTCTTGACTGCACAATGTGTTTCTTGGTTGGGGTGGATTTGGAGTGTGTCAGTTCTTGTTAGTTCCTGTTAGTTCCTGGTTAGTTAGTTCCTGTTAGTTCCTGTTTGTTTCTGGTTGTTTCCTGTTAGTTCTTGTTTCTCAACCCATCCCCTTGCAGCTACCGACCAGTCACTGCGTTGTCGACCATGGCTCTCCGGGCCTACAGCACCGACTGACGGACTGGTCTCATCCACTCTCCGTGTCAGGTGACCACCTTTGACATCCTTGGACCATGTCTTTCTCCAAACAAACTGGCCAAAACTTGCCAAAACGGCCTGCCGGTGCCTGCCAGTGGACTTTTGAAAGATGGAGAACGATCCAAGTCTGGTATTCATGTTCCTTGAAGTCCGGTGACGACCCAATGGACCGGTCGAGCACAGCGTGCCAGCTCTTAGCTCGGAATCGACCTTGGAAGGTACCCGAGCCTCCAAAGAGACCTTGGAAGGTACCCGGGAGTTCCGGCTGGGCGTGGATCTGTGAAGTCCAGGCTCTGGACCATAGGGGCATGTTCTGGGACAGATGCCCGACCCGGCTCCCTGTGACCTTAAAGAGGCGATGAAATGGCCCTTCGAGCCGACCAAAGGGTTCGTCACCGTCTAAAATCCGCAAAACTGTTGTTTGTTCTTCGCGACCATTCAAACATACCATAATGGTGCTATCCCAGAGGCTTCTATATAGAACTTGCCTCACTGCGCATGCGAACACATCAGCTGCAGGTGCCGAGTTGACGGCCAAGGCGTTGCCCAACCGCTTGGCTACGGGCGCAGTGGTCGAGGCGCCGGTGGGGTTTCACCGGGATTGTGTCGAGATCAAGGGGGCCATCAATTCATCACTTCATCACCCATTCACGTAGGTTATAACATGGATTTGCATATCAGGGAACCCAAATGTGCATGTTTTTTTTTGTTATATAATCACGCCTTTCCAGGTATATAATGTTTGGTTCCTTATAGTATAGTAAAATCAATGACGATCAATGTCTTCAATTCTTGTTTGCGATGTGTTAACGTTAGATTCTTGGTTATTTGTTTGTCTTGTGTATATAAATACGAATATCGAGGGCAGAGAGCCGTTGGTCTTACAGGGCCGCCCACATGCTCAGCCGCCAGGAGGAGAAGATCGTTGGAGTGACACATGGCGACGACTTCGTCGCATCGTCCGGCGGTTTCGAAAGGTTCGATCGAGATCGATTGCCTAGGTATGAGGCAACCATCGAATCCGTTGTTCACGCATTTGTTGTTGAACTGATGTGTTTTGCTTTTTTTCTACATTAATATATTGACTATCACATATATTGCATATCTATTCTTTTGTTGATGCTAAGGTATATATTCCATATATGTGGAGTGTATTCCAGATGGAAAGACCCGTCCTGTGCAGAAGACTCATTCGTTGGGTTCTGCCATGGTTCTACACACTTCAGGAACTATACCTGGAGAATGATCAGTCAGGGTGATGGATCCAATGCTACTATTCAAAACAGGCAGAGTGGGTTCTAAAACCTGAAGCCCTTCAAACCACCTCGCCACCTCGAAGGGTATTTTGATTGAGTTTCACTCTCCAACATCAATCCTTAGCACCTTCTCACGGACTGCAAGAAAGAAAGTAGCCCAGACTTGCCCAGATGATCCATATAGCCTACATTCACCACCAGAAACAACAAGTCAACACCGAGAACCCTTCGCCTTCGCGACGCGTGCGGGAAGGAATCCAACATGCAGGCCAACATGGATCATTTAGGTTATAGCAGGGGTCACAAGACGGGGCGGTCTTTAGTCCCATCCAGTGGCTCGTGGATGTGACGACGGGGCACCCAACTCCTTCCTCCGTTCGTTTGGCAGTTCGCTCTGTGACTCCTGGTAGGGAACTCTTCTTTTGAGCTATCTTGAACAGGCCCTGCTGGTTTGTTTTTCCCGGACCTATTCCCTACAGCTCCAGTCGTACCTCCTCAGGTTCGGTATGACTGGACCCGACACCCGGGCACCCACCCACCCTAACCGTCCCACCAAACCGAAGCGGTTCGAAAGCGACTGGAGCCCATTCGGATCGTTTGGGACTCTTCGGCCCGTGGGCCCTCCCTCTTGGGTGGCTGTGTTGGGATGGTCAAGTGACTCAAGCGATTGAAGCGGACGGAGGGTGTGGTTCCAGACCCGAGTGGTCTGGACCCCTGCGGGTTGAGTGGGGGGGGGATTTGGGGGGTCACCGCAATGTCGGGTGTCGGGTTCTGGATTGTTGAACTATGACCAAGTGCCTTCTCAGAAGGTGATTGGAGCACTGTTATGTAGGTTTTGAGGGTCTAAGTACCTTCTGAGAAGGTACTTGGATCCCTAGGGTGAGAGAAAGAGGACTGGGCTGTCACCGTCGTTGTGGGGATCTCCCCTTTTGACTGTGTCGTCAGGGGTCATGATGGCACCCCGTCACTCGAGAACAGCTGCGAGCCCTAAAAGAAAACGCGTGTTCAAATCTTGAAAAAGGAGCTAGCTCTTATAGATCCCCAACAATCCAGTGAAACATATACTTTGACCATCCCTTGCCGAATAACCCCTATAGAATGGGGGAGGTCGAGCTCCAAAATGACCTAGCATTTTATAGAAACTTTTCTCTAGAATCAAAAGTCAACCTACCTGAAACAGATCCACTCTGAGGATATCTGAGGTGAGAGAATCATATATTGATGGATCACTAGGTTGACCACCCTCATTTTATAGAGAATATATGACAATTGAGGGCATTTTATAGAGGACAGATATTTTGATTCTATAGAGAGAACCTGGAGCAGTAGAAGGTTGAGAGTTTACTTTAGAGTGGATGGATGTTTTACAGTGAGGTAGGTTGGATTCTGATTCCATAGAAAGCACTTCAATTTGTGGAGTCTTGAGTTTTGAGTTTATAGTCTCAGCCCGCTTCCTCCGCAGAGTGATGCTGTTTCTCCCACTAGTCTATAGAATGAGAACCACCCCTGGCTGTTTCAATTAGATAATTCAGATTTTGAGCCTACAATTCTGTTACATTAGTTCCTTCAAGGGTGACCCCCTTTATTCTATAGAGAAACTATGCTGTATTGTACAAGGGTTGAAAGCTAGATTCTATAGTGGGGCATTTTGCTCCCAGAGGTTGGTTCAACCATTTATCACTATAGAATGGCGTTCTCAACCCCCACCGGTTATTCCACAGAGGATCTTTGACCCTTAAAACTTAAAACGTCTTAAAACCACCCCAATGTAGGCAATTAGTTAATACATGGATTGTTGGGGATGTGTGCTCTTCTTTGTTCGTGTTGCTTTCCACCTTTGCTCCCTAGATCCTCCAAGAACCTCATAGAATCCATAGTAGTACCATCAGCTTCTATTTTTGCCCTGGGGCCTATAGGGGGGGACAGTTGCACAGAGCACCAAGCGTCTCATCAAGCTGGATGTTTCCCCGGTCCCAGCCACTTCCGACTTAATAGTTCTTCCAAGCATCTTAAGCCATGCTTTGAAGAAGCCCCTTGTTTTCTGCTTGGGCTTGGAGGTCTTCTGCTTGGGCTTGGAGGTCGTACCAAGAAAACAGAAACGTCACTTCCCCAAAACGACCCAAAAACCAACCCCCACGGCCCGTCGAGTCGACCGCCGTCCGAGGAGAGGCTACGACCGTCTCAGCTACCGGAAGCTCCTGGGCGCTGGGCCCGAGCTGGGCTGGGTCAGTCGCTTGGGCAGACGGGCAGACGTTGGGGTAACATCGGGAAGGCATGCGATGGGGGGGGCCAAGATGGGGAGAGATTGGGGGATCCAGTGGTTTGAGTTCAGACAAGAACTGGACTAGCTGCGAGGCTGCGCTTGCGCGAAGGCAGGAGCTCTTCCAAGCCTTTTGGAGTGAATTGGTCCTCAACTTTGAGAGACCATTCTTGACAAGCATAGAAGCAGTTTACATTGCCACTGGAACATACTGGAACCCAGTTTTGATGTAGACCATATGTCGGTTTGGTGGGTGGTCTAATATAGATTAAAATATATAGAGGTCATATACAGGTCGTAGCTATTTATATATACAAAACAGTGAACCAGTCGCAGCTTACCGGTTGAAGTCGCAGCTTAATGTGTCACGACTCACTTGGGCACCTTGGCGCCAGTGTCATTGAAACATACCCGGCCGAGCCAACGCCGTGGTCATGTCCCTCGGTCCAAGTGTCCGGGCACGGTCGACGGCGTCCCAGGTCTTCAAGCCAACGGCGTGCCACTTCTTCAGCTCCTGCCACCGGCACCCGACCTGCCGCGCGCGCGCACGCTGCGGCGGAGAGGAGAGGACGAGGCGCCAGGCTCTCCTGCTTGGGTCGAGGAGACCCGCTACCGCGAGATTGTGGCGTGGCAGAAGCTGAGGGTGCCAACGGAGGTTGAGGAAGCCTAGTTCGACTATCCCATATAGGTACCCCAGGTTTTCCAGGTCCTATATGTTCAATTAACCTCTTTGGGTGTGTGTTTTTGGGATCAGCCTGGATTCTCCTGGACCCTCCACATCGAGGGTTTTTCTCAGTCGAATCATGGTCGAAGCAATCCCACTGAAGCTGATTTCGGGGTTGACGCGTTGCCACAACTAAGGGTCCAGGACCATCCAACATCGGACATCCTTTGGTCCCAGTTCGATCATTCTCAGGTTTGCGTACTCACCTCCCTTCGACCATCCGAAGAAAGGAGGTACCTGGGTTACCTGTGTTCACTGAATTGTATTGCAGGACCGGGTGTTGTAACTCCCCTGCCTGTATATAAAAGTGTCAATCAGAGCAGAGATGATGATCCTGGTTTCCTCGGACTGCCCAGTTTTCATGACGTAAGAAACGCAGGGGCGCCGCTGCGACCTTTGGGAGCTCTGTTGCGGGTTGTGACGGAGTGGATGACATGGCGAAGCACAGAGGTTCCTCTCGTTTTCTATTTTTCTGGTTCAAGAAGAGGAGACCACAAACTTCTGTGGGTGTTCTGATCTCCTGCAGCTTCAACAAGCTTTTGTTTTTTCTAAATACTTTTATAGCAGACCAAGTGCATACCTACCATACGCCTGACTGACGCGTTTTTTTTGATCGCACTGGAGTGAGAAGCTGGCACCATTCCTATCATTGTGGAGGAGAGTAGGGAGGGCTGAATGACTCATGTTATATATATAATCATGGTCCATTTGCATCCCTCATGCAGAGTTTGAATCTACATTCCTTATAATACTATTTGAGTCTCCGATATCCATGGTCCAGACAGGCAATAGTCTGTAAGAAAACAGAAGGTTCTCGGGCCATATCCATAGCTGTTTGGAGAACTCAAGGTGTTCAACATGTTTTCTCTCTAAGTCCTCTTCATTCCAAAACGCTGATCTCAATGAGACCATCACATGGTTGTTTGCCCAAGGCATCGATCCGTTTCATCTTGGATGCGCCCTGCGAGGAGGTGGCTGCGGCTTGGCTTCTGACCCTACTAGTATGACAACAGGATGTGGGAAGGCCTTCTTCCCCAACCAGCAACGGTTGCAAGTTGCATGTTACAGCACGTGTGTTTATGCGTTCTCGGATGAACTGTTAAACGTTTGTTTGTTGCTTTTCTCGTTTTTAAAGGTTCCTTCTCGTTCGTGCATGGGTTTTCCAGACACCCACGCCGAGGAATCACACACATCAAAGCGATTTGCAACAGTTTTGCTGCATCCTTTCGTGTATGTTACTAACATGGAGGGTCTTGCTGTTGAACTATGTTGCATACCTCCGCATTCTTCAACGTGCATTGGAGAGGTAGCGGAATCATGAGCCATCTCACGTATCAAGTCCACAGTCGGTGCAGATGCAGATGCCAGCTTTCGTGCTCTCCACTTTTTGGTGGGACACCATGTGCAGATGTGTTTATAATTATGGACCTGGAATCTCAAAAGCACTTCAGAAAATGGGTACAAGTTACAAGCGACCTGTTCCTGAAAAAGGGTCATGTCATGCCCCACGGTCCAAGGTACTTTGGAGGGTCCAGTTTTTTTCATGTACTGTTCATGTTCAAGTTACTCCTCGGGATCCACACTTGTACCGAACCTCAGAAGTTACTGGACCCTCCAAGCCTGCTTTACAGCGTCTCCATCCTTACCCTCGATAGGAAGGTGGCAGTGAATCCAAAGGGCCAACGGTATGTATGCCGTTTGCGTTGGAACGATGCATATGAACTCAAGCACTCTTTGCGTTGCCCGAGAGCAGTTTTAATTGTACAGTGTTGGGGATGCAACTGTCCGACTGGTTACCCTACCCAAAGTATAAGGGTTGCTGGTCAAACACATTCTTTAGTTGACTGGTCCTTTCTCAAGGTCGTGCTCCCATGGGTTGTTTTTATCTTTTCTGTGCAGCCAGAACAAGTGGAAAACATGGAGATATCTGGAGTTCGACGTGGTCATTTTCAGGTCGTAGATATCGCTCCACTGCTCAGCGTAGAGCTCTTACAGCTCTGAGCTCCAAAAGGTATATCTTTGATCGGCTGAAAAGAAAACGGTGTTACTAAAAGCGGGGTTCCAATTAAGAAACATGTTGAAAGACTTGCGCTGCGTGTCGGATGATTTCGAACGTCACCTCTGAAAAGTGGAAGGCAAATGGAAAGAACAGTGGATACCCACTAAGGTAAATAGAACATGTGGTTCCTTTTCGATGCTTTGTTTCCTTTGACTTCCACTAGGTCGCCCTGTCTGCTGCACTCCACGGCGCTCCCGGCCGCATCGACATGCAGCGGGAGATCTTTGCTGCAGGGCAGCTGCAGCTTCGAGACCCACCAGAGCAAGAACAGACAGGTAGGGAGCGCTGAGGAGGGTGGCATCGTGGCATCAGGGCGTTGCTTTAATTCCAACCCGCATCCACGCATGGAAAAACAGATGCCCACACGATTAGCAAGTTGAATTGGATGGAATCGACGGGCCAAGGGGGGGTGGATGTACCATTTCCACCATGCCAGCTGGCCAGACTGATTGCAGCCTGTTCCTGCTGCTTTTGTTCAGTCAATCCGGAGGGTTCCTTGTCACGAGCGGTGAAGTCATAGAATCCAGAGGGTCGGAACAATCCAGTCCCGCCTTGCGATGCCTTAGCACCTTAGATGGAGTAACAAGGGGAGGACCATGATCTCTCAAGATACCTGACATTGGGACATTGGACACACCCCACTTATTCAACAAGAAAAGGTATAGACAAATGTCTTATAACCTCTATTTTCCCAGGATCGCAGCCTTGATGGGGAGTCGGCCTTCATTCCCTGCCACCCCCGTCCTCACCCCATTGTCCAGCCCTTCGTTACGCGACGTAGCCGCCCACCTCAGAGGCCTACCACTGCCCGTGCCCATGTCGCCCCAATGGCGTGAGACCGCCTTTGCCACCACGGACTTCTCCGAAGAAACCGTTTGGAATGGCAGCGCGCCTCGGCGCCTTCGTTCGCGACGGTCCGGTCAGCGACGACCCCGCCGGTGAGCAACGTGGGAACGACATGGAGTGTCCCGAAAGTCAGTCGGTGCTGGGTGCAGGGCGAGAGGTGCAGGGAGCTTCTGCTCAGGGGGGGTTCACCCGACGCGTCTGGAGAGCTCGCGGAGCTCGCGAGCCACGTTTTCGATCGTTGGACGACAGGGGAGGGAAGGAGCTCCCACGCGGATCAAGTTCTCGTTCAGCAATTTTCTGAGGGAAGGTCTATAGAGGAGACCCTCTGTGGTGTGGAGTTGGAGTGGGCCGACCAAGCATGTAATATGGTTCACGTGCATGTTTCTTGACCTGAACATCAGTGACTCAGTCACATTCAGTAACCCCTATGAGCTGGTCGCAGCCACCGAAATCCCCATGTGAGGCATGTTTCTGGTGTTTTAGACCTCCTTGGAAGCTCAGACAGTTGGTCCAACGCCAGCCAGGATGAACCAGGCTGCCAGGGCGGGTCGCCCCCCCCCCCAAGGTTTGGGGATGGTGAATGGACATGCTCCTGACATATCGAGTTTCCTCGATAGGGGGGCTATCCAAATGGATCCGGGTACCGTGGGCGCGTGGAATGCTGTGGAGGTGGGCAACTCCTCAGCCTCCTTTTCGCTGGGCCTGAGACCTCTCTGGAGTGATGAGCTTTGCACCTATCAGGAGGAGGCTTCCGAACTGGAGGCGCCTGCGTCGGGTGAACACCTGGAGCTCCAAACCGTAGTTGGGTAGGTCCCACAGCCAAGTCACTGCGATATCAGTTTCGAGTTGAGAGGACAGATGCGGTGGAGGCCTTTAGTGGCAACCCAGCTGAAGCCCCGCAATGTGCAGCTTTCAACAAGCGAGAATCAGCTTGGCTTCTAAGACTTCTCAATTGGTAGACCAACGGCTTGGAAGGCCATACATGTCCATTTCACTTGTAAGTGCCTATAGAGATCCACTTCAGCCTGGTATGGCCGCTATAAACTACTCAACCACTCAACCCCTACAGACCCTACAGACCCAGGACACCATTTTGTTTCAGGTCGACAGGTCTTCGGAATGGAGGACTTCATGGACAAGAAACCTACCTAAACAATCCATGGCGCTGGAGTACTGACCAACCTTTGACCATTTAAAAGGCCTGTAACATCACCCCTGGCAGTTTCTCGGCCAAGCTTCCCGTCCCCATGGATTGGGTGTTGCACTGACGATGGGTGTCTTGAAGAGCGCTACGGGCGGCGTCCTCAGGTGGTGGTGAGAGCCAGTCGCCCTGACGCTGGGAAGAAGACGGCAGGAGTGGCATAGAAGAGTGTCCACTGCAAAATGGTCTATAGTGTTTGTACTATTGAATACTGATCTATCCGAATCTATCCCCCAAACACTCCATGCAGGCATAGTATTGACCTGTATTATTGGGGTGGTTGAAGTCCGGGGTCAACGTATGGCATATCTTATTATATTCTAGTTTGTTTGAGTCCTCCTTCTCACTGACTCACTCAATGGCTAAGAGTTTGAGACTCGTAAGAATGCCACTCGGAACCAGGGTGTCTAGGTTGTTGGTCACCAGGGTCACCAGGGTGTCATGATGATAATGTACTTGCTGTGGATACAACATGGGCCCAACAGGTAGTTTAGTATTCACTGGAATTACTGCAGAGGCCCTGTGATCTGGCAAGGTCTTCGTCGTTGGCTGCTGATAGGAGAGAAGCTCTTGGAACCGCACTTGCAAGCAGAAGCTAGGCAATTGCAGCCCTGAAATGTCCTATACAAGTTTGGGCTCCTGGCCTACCTCTGTTTCGGTTCGGCGGGACAGGGATGGGGCCGGGGCTATATGGGGGATATGGGAGAGGAGCCCAAACGGGAAGCTTACAGGCACCTGAAGTACCTTCTCAGAAGGTCGTTGGAGCCCAGGGCATATCAAAGAGTACCAGCACCATCCTTCGGGGTCTCCCATCTCCATTCAACACCCGTTTAGAGTATTAGAACCTGATGGAACCCCCTGATTCCTTCCAGGAAGGCCAGGCGCCTACATCCGCTCAACGACCTCCTCTTCCCCGATCTCTCGCGCGCCCCAGGGCCGCTCCCCGGCCTTCGAGTTCAGCTGCCCCAGACGCATCCGCTCGGTGATCCGCGTCACCGAAGAGCTGCTCGGCTCCGCTCTGCTCAGCCCTCGACCGGTGCCGCGCACGGTGGACTACACCTAGACTCACCTACACCAGATCTCATTGAACACTTTGGAAGGTGGTATGTTGGGGGCAGCATTGGGGGTTTGATTTGATCATCCGTGTATATGCATAGATTCTTGGGAGACGAGACGGTGTGCATTGCCGTGGATCCAAGTCGTGGGCCTTGGAACTGCTACATCTACCCTGGCCTTCAAGTTCGATTGCCTGGGTCATCCAAGCGGTGTCCGACTACCCGACACTACTTGTGGACCTCCATCGGAGACCCATTGGATGATCCTGGTATGGACCTGGTTTTGCCGTGTAAAAGTATATCAAAGTCCTCAAAACAGCTAGCAGTTCGGGATTCAATCCCGCTGTAAATCCCAAAAGGTGCGCTACAAATCGCCCATGAAGGACCCCATCAAAAAAAACCCATGTCCGACCGGCCTGGACCCGAACTCACCGGCAGCCTGGTGTTGTTGTATACTGTTTTCTAATCCATTTGGGGCCGAAAGGGTGCTGTAGCGACACATATCAAGTACCAACAGTGGTTGTGAAGAACATGGTTGTGAAGAAAATGAACATTGCTGCTGTGTAGGGGTAACCGCCAGCACTGACTAATTCAGAGAGAACACAACCCCTACACCTCCAAGTACCTCCTCAGAAGGTATGACTGGACCCTCCTGGCACCCACCCACCCTCTAAAATGGCTGGAAAGCATGTTGCCACCTTAAACCAGACGCCCAGGACCTGTGGAGACGTTCTGTTCTGGATTGGGATGTTGCAAGCCAAGCAACCAAGGACCTGCGAGCATCCACAGAAGTTGTTCCACCTTCAGGTGCTGAGCCAGAGCGCGAAACCACACGCGAAACGGTGGCCACATTTCGAGTCATTGGCTCTACAAGCCTGTTTGAATTCCAAAAGCCTTTGTGTCAGTCCACATGGTCTGATTTTGTTTATTACTTTTTTTCGGGTATGGTCGTGTTTCAGCAAACACAGGAAGCCAGCATCCGGACCGTCCGGACCAGGTCCTTTGCAGTCGCATTAAGGAGGCCATCAAATTATCCTTTGACGAGACGCAACGTGAAGCCCTAGGACTGGCCGCTTCCTTCGCCGACCTGGACCTTACCCTCCTTCGATCCCATGTTCGGTCAAGAATGCCACTCCAAGGGAGGTCACGAACCAGTTCGGTGCTAGCACCGTGAGAGACCATGTTTTTGATGGCCATTGGAGACTCCAATCCAAGGAGGTCACGAACTCAAGGTTGCTGTCCCAGTTGTTGAGAGACCGTCGTTTTTGATGGCCATTGGAGACCTTGGAAACGGTACAGGTCGGTGATTGAAACGGTGATCAGCGCCTTTGCATATGATGACTGGAACGGGTAACAACCATGGCTCATAGTGCCTGAACAACCCAAAAACCCAACAATCTTGTCAGAAATTAGGCAGTATAGTTGCTTTGGGTTGCTCGCACGAGAAGGATATGATCCTTGAGATTATCGTGCTTTCTGCCAAAAAATAGAAGCGGCACACTCCGAGCAGCCCAACTACAGTGCTCATTTATGGCCCCAGCAGCCCACTGCTCTGGCATTTTGCGAGGTGCTGTGCCAGAGCAGACGCTGCCAGATTGAGTGTAGGAGTTGATCCAAAGCACCCGTTTCACGCACACCTGGTGTCCCCAATGCTACCTACAAATTTGCTCGCTTTGTTTCATGCGCGTTTTGATGCTGAATTGCGGTCCTCCGACCGGTCACCAGTTGAGACCGGGGCCCAACTCTCAAACAAGGGTGCTGGAAAAGAATGAGTTTCATTGGTTTCATCAAAATACCAGCTGTGCTATGTACTATGATTGATTTCCAGTGGTTCTGAATACCTTTCCCAGAAGGTGCCGAGCAAAAGTCGAAGCCCAACGAAAAACACTCAAACCAAAACGGGTGGAACCCAGGAACTACTAGGAGCAAAGGGCATCGCTACTAGGAGCAAGGATGCTACTAGAGGCTCCTGGCCTCACTACTAGGAGCAAGGACGCTAGCTAGGAGATTTCGAACGTATGACTGGGAAAAAAAAACAGCAGGACTTGCGTATGACCTCGACAGCATCCACTGCAGCTGCGGTGTGCGGCCCACCTCTGACGGTCGCGCAGAAGTGTCCCTTGGGTGGTGGGTCACTGTTCCGACAGGGTGGCGGGTCACGGTGGCGGAACACGGTAGTGGAACGGTTTCGATGAAGTGTGAAACCGACTTCGAGGGGTTTCAGAAGTGACAACAAGCAGGAATCAACTGACCCCGGCACCGTACCCGCACTCAAAAATACAGGGGTTCGGTTCAACCCCCTTTTTTCCCACGGTACTTGGAGGATCTAAGAGCAACCATTGGCAAGACATGGAAAGACTGTATTTGAGCCATGACACAACTGGGGTTCTCGCAAGCTCCATTTCGGTGTTTGGGGAGGGTTTAGAGGATCAACCCCTAGGGAAAGACCATGTTTTCCATCTCTTCTCTTGAAAAAGCCATGTTTCATACCGGAGCTTACAAATTGTTAGTGCTTTGCTTCTCATAGGATAATATGCATTATTAATCAAACATCCACCCTGTTTGCCTTGTTCATAGACCAGCCGTGGCTACCTGCAGTCTCGAAGTACCTTTCAAAACAGGGACATACCTTTTTTTTTGATAGAGTCATGATGTCATGTCCTATTTTCCCAGACCATCCATGGGACTGGAATATGTGCCTCCTTCTCAACAACCCAATGTACCAGGATCATCCTGTCTGGGTGCCCTGTTTGGAGGTCCACGTCCGCAGTGTAGGGTATTGGACACCCAGACAGGATGACCCAAATAGGTCAATCATTGGGCACATGGATGCTTGGGGCCAGGAATGAATGGGATCGGATCGGGCTGAGGGTGAACTTTGAAGCCGGTTCCGTTTGAGTGCCGGTCGAAATCGTTTGTTGGTTTATCGGTCAATGTTGAGAAAAAGCAAGTTGAAGCCACGAACAGAGGTTCTTCAGAACCCCTTTTTTGACTATCCCAGATACCCCCCCGTCGGTTCCTTTTTCATGAGGCCACAGCTCCCAGAAGCTGCTTCAAAGAACTACATTCGTACTACAAATATCTTAGACACCAGACACCAGGTATTTGGACCCTCCAAACCCACCCCAGTCCCACCGAACCTCAGGAGGGAATATGTACCAATTCAGGTCATCTGAACCTCTCGCGGCCCACGACCTCCCCAAGGTTCCGGCAGCTCTTCGGCGGCTCCGCGCTGGCTGAGACGCAGCCGGGGCCACGGCCAACTGGGCGCCCGGTCGCTGGGCTGACATACAGACAGCCCCTGGGGACATATGGGTTCAGAAAGCTTATACACTGCAGGTCTTCTTAGTTCGGTCTTGAACCGTGGCATTTATTATAGGTTCAGAATGGCATTTACACCGCAGGTGTTTGAACTAATTGGAACTCAATCCTAGTTTTTTTGTGATATTCACGGTGAGGTTGTGACATTCTGTAGATGCACGCACACCGCTGAATCGACCTGGGAAGTCCAGGGGGCTCAGTTCCTGACTCCCGAGGACTTCGATTACGATCCCATTGCGTTGCTGGCAAGTCAAGTCCTGCCACTCGCAGCGAGTCGTTTTCAACATGTTGTTTTCTCCGGATGGTTTGTGCGACTGTGTGGGGGGGTTCCGTGCAGACACCATGCAGCAAGCTGCAGCAAGCAGCGTTTTCCAAAGACCAGTAACACAACACCCAGACGATGCATGCAAGTAAACCATGAGTCATGCAGGCCGTAACTTTGCACCGGATCATTTGGGCGGAAAACACCCCGCAACCACTGCGAAGAGGGACCCGGCAACCAGAAGGGACATGGTTCTGACCCTCCTAATTGAGGGTTACTGGATGTTCATCGTATTGATCACCCAACCACGGCACAGGTGAGATGGTTCCTGGGTCACGGTTTCCTGGTAGCGCGGGTTGAAGCGCTTCCTGGTGGGTGAGAGGTGGTTTGGGACACGCGTGGCCAGGTTGAGACCCCCTGGTCGAGTCGTCTCGAGTCAATAAGGGATGAAGAAAAGAAGATAAAAGAAGCTGAGACGAGGTCAGGTAATTAGCATACAAGCGTCGCTATGTGAACAATCACATCTTCCAAGCCCGGACCTATTTGCCTACATTGGGGTGGTTGAAAAGGGGTCGATGCAGGCATCTTGTTCCTGTCATTTCCTGTCCCATGGATGGTTTGGGAAGGCTTGGATCGACCCTGGCACATTTGTTTTTACACAGCCTGAACGGTTTGTTTCACGGTCCCACACGTGGCTTGCTTCTACGGATCGGATTGAACGGAGCCGACGGTGACACCCACACGTGTCGGCCAAGAGTCCTGGATGTGTATTAAAAAATAGGGAGACGTGAGACCTCCCAGGCAACGACCCTCTGGAAGGTTCGGGAAATTGCAACACCCATTGGTTGGGACGGTCTCCCTGCTATACACACCGCCTGGATTAGGGTGTTTCCGTACTGCCAGTGTGTGCCAGTGCACTGGTTGGTTGACTGGTCCCCTGTTTTCAGTGGCAAATGCGGAATCACTGCCACCCTTTGAGAATCTGATTGGAGTGTCCAAGGGCACTCTGAGAAGTCGTGATTATTGGTGCCGGATCTTGGAATCAGGCCACCTCCTTTCAGGACGACCAAGGTCGATGTGCCAGGCCCCGACTCTATTTTGTTCCAACGAATCCACCATGCATGTACACCCACACTTTCACTGCCAGGTCATGATCTGCGACCTTAAAGTATTTGAACATACTTGAAGTCTCTCGAGCATCTCCATTTGTTTCAATAGACCCATGTAACTCAGAGAAGAAGAAAGGACACACAGTGACAGTAAGACCCATTTCTGTTTCTTTTCGAAACGGTTTCTTCTTGGAGAAGAGATAATATAGTAACGTTCCTCTTGATGTGTTCTTTACTATCTTGGTCAGATCTGCTTTGTTGAGATCTGTCTGAGGTATATGTTGGACATCGAAACTCGGGTTTGGGCCTCCATCCATGGCTTTCCTTTGGCGCCGACCTCAGAAGGTGGTTCGACCTTCGACGAGGGGGAGCATCGTCGACCCTGAGGGTCGGTAAGGGTTTTGCGAAGTCAACACCCTCACCTGGAGTTTTGGGAGACATGGACGAGCAGCTGTTTTGGAGACATGTACTGCTATATGCATCTATTTGACTCTATTTGCTACCAAGAACTTTTGCTCGTATCAAGGGAGCTGTCGCTTTTCAGGGTCCCGGCTGTCGAGGGTCGGAACTGTGGTATCGGACCCGGTACTCATCGCCTGGGCATGTGTGAAGGGTAGGACCATCGCCTGGACCTTAGAGGTTAGATGGGGATTGACTTTCAACTCATCTCTTTGGACAGGTGCTACACTCAGAAGCCTCAAGACTCCTTGAAACCACGCAGCTGTTAGAAGAGATCATCTTCTTGTGGCGCCAGGCGTTGCAAAACATGATCCCCCAATTCGTAGATCGAAGGTGAGCATCCACTATATTCGTCATTGAACCATGGGGACTGTTCTGCTAGCGCATCGATGCAGGTGATTTGATCAGAGTGAGGCCCCGGCCAGGAGGCCCAGGGATCAGGTCCGCTGATGTGTTCGACACCAGAGTGGGATGCAGTCGAACCCCGAACACCAGAGTGGGGTGCTCTTGTGTTGATTCGCTCACTTGACTGCTCTGAGTAGAGGTTGAAGAACCCTTCTTTTAGACTGTGACGATCCACAAATGAGGTACGCCCCAGCAGGAGGTGCTGAATGAATTTCAGGTGACCCAAAGGGACCCAAAGAACATCTAATTACTTATGGGGTTGAGCTCGCGCCGAGGTCGAGCTCTGGCGCGGTCTTCGTCGACCCTTCCAGTGGGCAACCTTCTCCGCGCTGAGCTCTGCCGCGTCACACCTCTTCGCGCTGGGCTCCGCGGCGGACGCGGCGTCGCAGCTTCAGATCGCCAGCGATGGGAGCAGATCGTTTTGGTGTGTTTGCTGTGAAGGAGTGGAAGGAGGCCAGTTTTTGGGGCGGACTTTCCCAAGATGGGCTCACATGGAGCCACCATGTATTGTTTTTCAAAGACATGGCGTGGATGGTGGATGATCAGATTTTCTACTCTTCAGGAGTAAGAAAGACACCCGCGTGTCAAAGATGCGGCCCTGAACTACAATAACATCAATAACCACGGGGGCTGGCCTTTAAAAGACACGTATTATGTCTTTTCTGGCCTGCCATATAACAGCTACAGACTGGAGAGGGGTTGGAGGCTGCATGTGTTCACAGTCCAGCCGCCCCACCTATTGGATCCACCTCGTTGGAGCTTCAGTGGTCAAAACGGGTCAAACGGGCCCCGCGTTTGAAGAGCTGGGTCATCATGAAACCCTCAGAGGGGGAGGATCCAAGATCGGAAGAGGATCCATCTCTTTTTCATGATGGGCCGTCATGGTTCATTTTTGGCCTCAGGATCCGCCTCGTTTTCGCCTTCAAAGCCAAGGCCAAAGAGCTCCGACAGGGCGACATCTTTGACATGCGGGTGGCAAAGGCTTGGACACCGCGCGGTTGGTTGGCAGATCTTGGGATGTGGAGTGTGGAGATCCTTTAACGGTGGTCATACTAAATCCTTGGACGCGACACGTTCGCGGGGGCCTGTACCTGAACCAAACCAGATTAGTTTGAGGTTCAGGATCTCTGGTGTTTTTGGGGGGTACTAGCCCCAAGTCCTTTCCTTTGGGCTCCAACTACATCCTGTGAGGCAGTCAGAGCCCAAATCCTACACAAGTAGCTTTTCAACAGGTAGTTAAAGCATGTTAAACACCCATGAGATTCTAGGTAAATCCCACTCAGACTCAGAGCCTCCTATACCCAGACCATCCATTTATATGGTATATACCACCCCCATCTAGATCCATCTAGGTAGAACATGACGGTCCCAATATCGTGTTTGGGATAGGAATTCTCAAGAGCCGACCGTATCAGATATCGATATCTCACGTTTATATAGATCCAGGAACACACCGACCAGCAGGAGCTCGAGCAACTGGTGCCCCACTGCAAGAACGAGATCGGCAAGAAGCAGGGCCAATTCACGGAAGGCTCGGTGGACGTGGTCAGCTTCGCAGTGCCTCGGCACCACCCACGGGTCAAGCTGTTCAGCCGAGAGGCTCCACTATAAGATCTGCCAGTATCAGAATCATGCGACAAGTGAATCGCTACTAGCCACAAGTGCATTCTAATAGTTATAGTTTGAAGGTGTTCTTTTGCGACTTTCTAGGTTAAGTTTGTAGTCTACCTGAACTAGATGCACAGAAAGAGAGCCCCCGTCTGGTCCATGGTTTTGTCCAAGTGCAACTGGTTACCTGTGTACATGGATCACTACCAGGGCCCCCCCAAAGGGGTGGTCAGACTCTAAGACTCTAAGGGGCTATTATAACCCTAGGATTCCAACCACCATTGTTTTACAAAGGGCTTTACACTACGAAACCAGGTCAACCTTTCGGTCGTTGATGTTCCAGGTCTCATCGTTGGGGTCATCAGCAAAGGGTCCGCCTTTGCCCTTGCCAGCGAGTTGGCTCTTCAGCCAGCCATCGATCTCCAAGAAGTTGACTTTTCATGGTCTTGCAGTTGCTATCATCTTGCATATCTGAGTGCCTGAAGTTGGCATTCCTTCATGGTCTTGGAAGCCTATAGGGATCAGACACCCCACAGCCCCCCAGACGCGGACCAGCCCAGACGCTCCGTGAAACCACGCAACCACGCTGTGCCGAACCAAACCTCCCGGTCCAGCAGGCAGTGGCAGTGACCTGATCCTCTCTTTCTGTTCCCAGAAAAAGAAGCGAACAGATGGCCATGTCAAACACATTTTGTTCATAATTTGTTTCATGAAATTTCTCAATGATGACGGTGATGACGGATCCGGACGCTTTCCAAATCCATTCCTATGCGGCCGTTTCCTCAGGAGCTTTTGCAGCGGATTTGCCGCCGTGCCGACCCCCAGGCGCTGTGACAGACGCAGCATGTGCCCAGCTCCTCAAAGGATCGCTCGCTCCCTGGGGATCCACAGCCACCCTCTGAGAAGGTGACAGTGAGGAAGGAGACACTGAGCCTAGGGATTGGTGCTGGGGTTTTTGATCCAGTCGTAGCGAACCTGAGGAGGTACGACTGGAGCCCTAGCGTATAGTGTTGATCAGCATTTTCCACCCTGGACTTGCAATGAACATCGGAGATCAGCGGAGAAGGTGGGAATGTCTCTTGGGTGATCGGAGGGTCTAAAAGACCCACGTGGAGAGCGAGCTTATGTGTCCGACCAAAATACAAGTGGACGCGGAACTACGTGCCCCTCAAATAGATGGCAACAGCTGGCAAGAAAGGTGTTCTTGTTAACTGCATGGATCGAGCAACAAAAAAATTTTTGCTTGTGTTTCCGGCGATTCATCGTCGCTGACTCAAGTCGGATGGGCGGAGTTGGTGGAAAAACAAGTTAGCTCCATAGACCCCGGTGTTCGGGCTCGATCCACAAACCGGGCTCGCTCCACAGATGCCGTGGTTGAAGACTGCATGGGTACCCACCGGCCACTGAACCCACCGGCCAGGCCGATATCTACCGCAGCTTCGCCGACCTGGGCAGTGGCCGCGGCCATGCGGTGCTGGCGGCGCACGCGCTGTTTCCCTTCCGGCACTGCGTCGGCTGCTGGGATTCCGGGGTTGGAAGAGAGCGAGAAAGAGAGAGAGAGAGAGAGCTAAATCCAAGACCAGCCAGGTAATTACGGAACAAGTTAAACTGCATGCATCTACACAATTCATGGCCCCAAATGTATAATATATAATATATATATATAAGGTAAACATATATACCAGGAGTCACAAACGGGTGGTGTTTAGTCCCTAAGTGAGTGGATAATAGGCACTCCTGACCTCCATTAAGCACCCCTTTGTGACTGCTGGTAGGTAGGTAAGTATATACATTGATTCTTTGGGTTCAGAAGTATAGTTTGCTTAACAAGTTTTTGAAGAGTGAGCTGTAGCAGAAAGTTGGTGAGCTGACAGTTTTGGACGATGGTTTTTTTTTGCTCGGCCATTCTTTTTAGACGAACTCGAGCCTGGCATAAGAGATGAAGAGAGGAAGTCTTTGCTCCGAGGATATGAGATTGACAAAGAAGCCATGGCTGCGGCCTACAAGGCCCTGAGAGAATACATGCAGAGTCTTGGAATGAAAAACATTTTGATTGGTTGTTTCTATTTTCTATTTAACACTATGCAACCCTATGTGTGCCTCAGCCTCAGTGTGTCCCTGTCATTTTTTCTGAGCGTCATTGCTCTATTGTCCATCTTGCTCGTGCTTGTTTGCACTGGTTGGTTTAATTTTGACGAAGCAGAACTTTTGAGAAACGATACCTTTTCTTGTGCTCAAGAGGTAGTGTTTTGTGTTTGTTTCTCCAAGATCCAGTTGTTGTGATTTTGGCACTGATTTCCCTCGGTTTTTTCCAGCACTTCGTCCAATCCAAGCAGGAGTGGATTGGTCATGGATGCAAGCTGTCGTGCAATTCAGCGTTCGATCGGCACATCCTTAAAGCGAGTGGGGCAGTTCTGCTAGGCTAGGTAGATTGTTGATGAATCACCCCTGTCATATCAAAAAGAACACCATTCTAATTAAAATAGTAGGATCTACTGTAGTTAGGGGGGTTCTTCATCAACCGTCTACACGACGAGGGCCACTTGCCACTACTCAGCACGCTAGAATCCCAAACAGAGGTCAGTTGCTCCAACACACCCCGTGTGGGATTGTAGAATTGGCTTTATGGTTGAAGCTGGCCGTTTGATTTCTCCCGATTGCGTCTACTAGACGAGGCTTCAAGACTTCCACCGACCGTCGCTCCAAATCGCCGGTACTCGACCCGGGTTACACCAAACCGATCTGATGTGTTTGTGTGTGTGTTTTCGGGTCCCAGGTTTGACCTCCTGAAACCTTCTGTGACCAGGACACCAGTCCCTTCACCGTTTCACCGTGAAGGCCACAGTCGACATACCGAAACGTTTCACTGTGACTGGACCCGTGCTTCGTGTCTCCGTCCTCACCTTCGGAACGAGGGTGGTAGTGGATCCATAGGCAATGACATTCCCAGCTTTCAAGTCCTCAGTCGTCATCAGTTCCGTCTGCAACCCGAGACCACCTGGGCGTGATTGGGCGTGTTGAAAGACACTGAGCGTAGGCAGAGCAATAGATCCACAGAACGAAGCTGGGGCGCTGATTTCAAAGGTGGTTTTTGGTTCGGGTCCAACGCCCTCGCGAAGTCGAAAGCCTGGTCGAAAGCCATACTAGTTCGGAGGGTCGATTTTGTTGGTTCTACCAAGCCACATTTGCTCTATGATGCTCTATGTGGGATCCACTGCCACCCTGTTTTGGTCCATGTGTTCGAACGTTGAACCGGCGCCGGCACGGAACGGGTGAACGGGTGAACCTCGCAGGAGTTCACTTCGGGGAGGTCGGGGACGTCGTCGATGGAAGACATCCGAGGCCAAAAGCTCCATGAACCCTTTGAAGCTCCTGGAAGCCTCGGACTTTTTGCATCCAATCAGCTCCAGTTCCTTGGGCGATATACTTAGCTTAATTAGGTAGAATGGTGATGAAACGACTGACTTAGGAGGATGGGGAGGTTAAGATGTGATGTGGAAGCTGATCTTTGGCCCGTCATATCCTTCGTTCAACGGTAGACTGATCCATTCGATGGTTGCCGCCGATGAACAAGTGGAAGAGTTACTCATGGGGGAGTCCTTTGAAACGCAATTCATGGTGTCCTGACAAAGGACGCCGTCGTTGCTCTTGTGGCAGCCATCCATGGCAATGGTGGAAAAGAAGCCAATTGGTGGCTGATTGAGACTGATTCCTCATAATGGTGTCCTTTCCTTGTTCCCTGTTAATCCCCAAACCTTCTTGATCGTCCCGGCCTCATCCAGCCAACTCCAACTCCAAGCCGCCTAGCCACATCGCCTGTCCGAGGTCACTGGACCTCGGCCTCGGTCGTCTTCGCCAACGGCGTCACCTGGCCCTCGGAACTTCTGGCCGAGATTGGCGCCTCGGGCGGAGGTACGCGAGGATGAGGGGAGGGCAGGATGCGGACCAACTGGACCTACCAGGGAAACACCAAGGGATTGGGCTTTTTAGATCTTTTTCGGTCTCATCCACATTGAAAGGGTTTTGTTGTTGGTCTGTGGCTGGGGCCGTTGATCCTGTTTGGGCTCCTATCCATCCCCCCCACCAAAAAAAATCGAAAACGAAAAGCACCTTCACCGAAAACTGCGGCTGGGGCCAGGAACCTATTTGGGGGATCCGACCTCGGTCACTGAGCCTTCCCAACACGGCAGTTGACCCATGTCCACCGCAAGAGTGTCGAACATTGGCGCCTGGTGTGGTGGGTCCACCGTGGGTTGGGTCGTTGGATTTTGAGCAGGTCGACCTTGCTTGTCCCAAGATCCCCAAAGCGTTGGCAGCTTCATTCCAGACAGAAGAGTAATTAGGTTTGTCTAAGTCGGCAGAAACTGGAAGACACACTTCATTTCGTGCATATATAGGATCATATAGGTCTTAGAATGTGTTAAGCCGTAGTTTTAAGTTTGACATGTTGGGAAGTTGGCTGCTGGTTGGAATCCTATAGACCCCACAGGCAGCTGATTCTTGAAGCACTGAGAAGCAGTGGAACAGCGGAGTGATTTCTTTTTCCCATCATTCTTACAGGGCTCGCGAGTCTGTGTGTTTGGGTGTCCGCCTGGGGTTCTGGGCGGCAACTGTCCGCTTTAGAGTTCGAACAGGAAGCCGTTTGAACATGAGAGTCTCATGCGCAAATGGTTCATCAAAGGAGGAGAGGTCAACACCTGGGGACCGGCCGGTTGACCATCGAAACATGAGCAGACTATGAGCAGAGAGGTCAACCCATCCGTAGAGAGGTCGGCCCTGGGGTCAACCGATCCGGACGTGCCACCGAGGTCAATTGGCCTTAAAGCTGAAGAAAGGTGCAGTGCCTTGCCTTAGATCAAGAAATGGCCTTAGTGCCCAGATCCCAGCGTCGTAGGTGGTTCTTTCATTGAACTCTTGGAATTTGTGGGTGTTTGATGCCCAGCACGTGGATCACAACGGTGACCGTCGGCGACCACTCGTTTTCTCGTTGGATTTTGGAGTTGAACTTTCCGGTCTTATATAAGCTTGTGATAGTACGCAGTGTAGTACAGGTCATCCCAACTATCAGATAATCACTATACCGTTAGTGCAGCAGCAGCAGCAGCAGCAGCAGCAGCAGGAGCACCACCACCACCACTGCCATCTCCTCCTCCTGCTGTTCGTCCTACTTCTGCTCCATATGATACTACTACTCCCATTGCGAGGCCTACGCCTACTCCTGATCCTTTTACTCCTTTGCTCCTTCTCCATTTACTCCGACACCTACCCCCACCGCTACCAGCACTACTACTACCACTACCACTACCACTACCACCACTACCACTACCACTACTACTGCTACTCCTACTACTACTACTACTACTCCTACTCCTACTCCTACTCCTAATTACTCCTATACTACTCCTGCTTCTGCTACTACTTCTACTTCTACTACTACCACTACTACTACCACCACCACTAAGACTACTACGGCATTTCTTTGAACTGTTCTATTCTCCGGCAACCTGGCCAGGTCTTGGTCCTAGTGGCCCGACGCTTGCCAGCGGACGACTTGGAGCTCCTGCAACGCTTTGACGTACGTGGGGACGCATGTTTGCTGAGCTTCACCGACAAGAAGGCGGCGCTAGGGCTCATGTTGACGAGCTTCATTGCTTTCGGACAGATCATGAACACACAACTGCAACGTCGACTGAAGACATTCAAACTATCTATACATGCTTATTCTTCAGCTCTCTTCTTGAGATCAAAGAAGGTGTACCAGTGTGCCAGAAAGACATGCCTGAGAGACCCACCTGCCTTCTGCTGAGAACATCTTTACATGTCGTTACAGTAGGATGTAGTTTCTCTTCAGACTCCCTGTAGGATGTAGTTTCTCGCCAGACTCCCAAAGTGACCGAACTTGATCCTCTGGTTTGAGTCTAGAAAAGTTTGTTTGTACCTCTTCCATGTAGGCTTTTTCACGCCAAGCAAACCCTACAGCATTCTCATCAAATGCTCCAGTTTTCCTGTAAAGGTTGTCAATGGGACCACGATGTGCAAAAAAACATCGTCTTTTGGTGCGACTGTGCAGTGCTCGCAGCAGATGCCCCAAAAGCGTGATTTGTTTTTGCAGGATACTGCGGAGGAAATTGTGTGGGAAAAGTGCAGGATTCCATGGGACACGGACCAAGCATAGCCGCAAAGTAAGCAGCTCAGTTTTCTGCACGAGAGGCTGTGAGTATGAAGCAAAAAGGTTTGAAGTCTGTGTGTGTGTGCAAGTGTCAAGGTGTGGTCAAGTTTGGCAAGGTAGATTTGCACGTTTGATGTGGATTTGTGTCTTTGTGTAGGTGCAGTTGGGTGTTCTATAGGTCTGCTTGGACTTTTTGCAGTTTCTTACTGCACAGCCATGTGGGACACAATGATGAAGCGGTACCCTTTGAAGCCGGGTTGTTGTTTTGTTTGCTTGAGGTCAGTCTCAGGAACTCACGCACACACACACACACACACGGAAGAAACCGGACTACAATACTATACACTAGTTTGATGTGTTTGATGCTTTCTTCTTCTCCAACACATCGGCTGAACTCGGATGGAGAGATCGTTTTTTTTTCCGTCGCTTCACGACCGTCCAGGCGGTCCAAGTCTGGATCTATCAGCGACGCTGAGGGAGATCACCGGACGAGGAGATCAAAAAGAAGCAGAATGCGTGATGAGGACATCTGACAAGGAGGTACCTGGAGATCCTTTTTTTGGGGTACGGTACCATTGAAGGAGGACCTGATGCATCCTGCAAGAGTAGTTTCCCCATGCTGGGGGACGGACTTTTCTACCAGCACCTCCAACAGGTCACCAATTGAAACCTGTTAGGGCCTAACAACCCTCCAAAGGAGACCTGTTGGAAGGTGCTGGTAGAAGAAACGGTTTCTTTATTTCAGGTCCTCCAAATGGCCGGGGTTTCCTCGGCCTGGGCTCGGCGGATGTTTACCATGTCGAGCAAGAAAGGCGATCCTGACTCATGGTTCATTTGGTTATTCCAAATACCCTGGGAGTCCAAGACTCGAAGATATTCAAGGGATGCTCTGACTTGGTGACCCGAAGAGGATTTTCCTTTACTTGGGTTGGGCGAAATATAGTCTTTGGACTTCTAGGAAATAGCAGTAGCTGAATAACTTGTACATAGCTGGCTCTAAGCGTTGGCAAAGGAGGAGCTGCCAAAAGAAGGGAGTCAAAAAAGAAAAGGGAAAAGAGATGCTTGCCGGTTCCGGTGGAGGAGTTCATTACTGCTCAAAGATCCCTCTGAGTTTATTCGACTTAAAGCAGAGTTGTGTTTGTTTAGCCAATCCAGTGGGCTGATTGACTTCCAGGTGTACTTAGAGATTAATACATGGTGTACCTATGTTCCAAGAAAGACAACAGAAGCACCACCAAACAGGTTACGGTTACTGTAATGTTATTCAGACAAGAGATGACAAGAGTACAGTTTGTTTCTTTTGTCAAGACATACGTATCATAGTGCAATGATGTTTCGAATGCCTAAGACTCAGATGATATGGTGACCGATGTGTCTCACGGCAAAACACACATTCCCCGGACCGACATTTCCATAAATTCCCTCACCCAGACGCTCCTTTCACAGCCCGACTCCCTCAAAACCTAGGGATTTGAGACCCCAGACCCCTGACCCGAGGATTCGAGCCCGACAGGGTCCAGGGTCGCGGCTGGGCAGAAAGCTCAAACCGCGCACCCGTGCCGGACCCGTGCCGGACCCGTGTCACCCGGAAAAAACCGCCTCGGTCGGTCGCGCCAGGTCGGATCTGATGTGGATGTGGATCAGCCCATGACTCGTCATATCCTACAACATGATATATACTGATATACTAGTTGTGTAGGGACTTGGTGGAAGGATTTTGTGTTGGCCATAGTCTGTTTTGGAAGGCAATTCGACCCGAGACCACATGGATGACCTGACCTGGTCCTGTTGGAGCCTTCCTTTTCTTGGACAAACATGTTGCAAAAGATCTCAAGCATCTTGGGCCAACTTTGTCTACAGCAAACTAATATCGGTCCTTTGCCTATATTGAATCAGCTGTGTATACCTCGAGATACTTGGAGTCTTGCTACTGTTGAAGGATTCGACTTGGATGTATGTCTTCTCCACACAATGGCTTTACAGTCTTTGGCACCTTTTCGTGCAAGCCAGCCGCTGAAATAGATGTAGAATTAACTGTAAACAACATGTTCAGACTTCCTGTCAAGATCTTCTCCTACAGAGGAGTATGTGCGTGGCTTTTATCTCATCGATATATATGTGCATGTGTTTTTTGTCTTCATGAAGGTACCTAGCACGCTCTTCTGGGAAGCCCTCCCAGGAGAGAGCATCCTTCACGCTGCGCCGATCCACGTCCCACACGCAGAGATTTTAAGATGTTTCACGCTGCGGCGATCCACGTCCGTTGGCAAAGCACTTTTACAACTCTCTAGGTCCCTAGGGATCAAAAGACATTCTGAGGCACCTGCATAACAGTGTCTTCAATCACCTTCTCGGAGAGGATGTGGATCCATAGGGAGTGTGCTTTCGCAATGCGATTGTGCAAAGTATTGCAAAGTTTTTTGTCCACCTCTTTCCCATCATCCACAGTCGACCGGACTATCCACCTCAAAGATTTCGATCAAAGTTGTGTGCTCCCTTTTTCTCAACTCAGCTGACACCTCGGCCAACCCCCGGCCATGCATGAGAAGAAAACGCCTCGGCCGCTGCAGCACCTCCGGCGTGACCGAACACCGCCGTGCACGGAATGCGATGCAAAAACCGCCCGACTCGAGAGGGCCTGGGTCCAGAGTGGTCGATGTGTGTGTGTGTGTGTTAAGTTGCGGAAAGGAAACACAGGGAAAAACCATGACATGTTCCCAATTGAAGTATACTGTAGATCAAACAGATCCAGCATAGCTTGAAAGATAGAGGATCGGTCCGAGGATCGGTCGGTTTTCCTTCCTTCAGATTCGTGTCCTTCTAACAAGCGGGTATGCTTTTCAAGTGGGATGATTTTTAAAAGTGCCTTCACCTATTTTTTTGAGAAACACACCTTCCTTTACTGAACCTACGGCTACATACAAGCATCCTACCTTATCCGAAACCCTCCTCCTTCCTCTCTATCATACACACCCTCTTCTCCTGCGTACAAGCCTCTTTTTTCATAAGACTTTGACCTCACAAGAAGCATCCCACCTTATCTAGAATCCTCAACCTCCCCGAGGCCGACTAGGCTTATATACATCATGTTTTTGCATATTTTTTGCAACTCTAGATTCTTGATCAGATGCTTGACTTTGACCGTTTTTTTAGGTGTCCTGGCTGTTCTCGGTGTTCTCCATTGAGGGAGATCCGCGTACGCTTCATAAATTGTTGCTCCTTTGTAAGGATCAGAACTCAGAACATTGGAAGGTTTTGTCTAAGGTATCTATGCTGTGCAAAGGCCCCGTCTAAAATCAACAACCTATCCAAGAGAGGAAGGGAAGAGCCACTGTTGATTCAAACAAGGTGAGTAAAATCAATACGTTGTGACATGCACAGCAATGATAGCGGCCAATCAACCCTTTTTCTGTTTGGAAGGGCCACTGTTTCAGCAAAGTATAGAAACGGCTGGTGAACAACACTACAATTATGAAGAAGAGGTCAAAAAGTAAAGACACATAGAACAAATAGATAAGAGATACAAACCAGTTTGAACCAAAGAAGAGCAACAGACGAGGCTCAACAACAAAATAGACATTCAAAACACAAGAAAACAGTGGAAATTAAGCTAGTCGTTCGTAGTCGCTCTTCTGTGGCCAGGAGTTCCTTAAAGACATTGTGCTGCTCTGAAAACGCCTTCCCATTTCAATCACCGGTGGTTTCACTCAGCGGTGGCCTTGACCGGAACCAAACGCGGAGTTTCGCTCCGTGTTTCACGCTGCCGACCCTCGCTGCACTGTTTGGTTGAATATGGGTATAGGACAGAGTGAGTGTTTGAATAGGGGGACCCCTGCCCATATGGTAATATGATAGGACAGAGATGGACAGAGTGTGTATTTAAATAGGGAGACCCTCGGGCTCTGGCTGGGTATTTCCTGGTCCACTTCCCGAACCGGTTCCCGGCCCTGCTGTGGGTCGTCCGACCATCTCCCTCACCGACGTCCGACCATCTCGCCGCTGCGTCCCGACCATGGGGGCTCAAAGGTAGGAGGTCATGGTCTCAGATCAGAAGTCTAAGCGTCTCAGGAGAGAACATGTCGATGTTTCTTCAGATGTTTCGAGATTCTTCGGCTCTCTTGGAATTCGTTTGTTTACATCTTGACTTTGAGGAAGGGCCTTGTTACAATGACTACATAAACCGTTAAACCATAATTATATATATATATATTATACACGAAAATATTTATAGTCACACCAAGAGGAACAAATATTTGGCTGCTACACACCAGCTGCATCCCTCGCGGCGGTTTGTTCGCCATTCGCAGATTGTCAGGCTTCGGGACACTGGAAGATGCAGGAAATCAATTGAACGATTCGAGTATACCCGACAATGTTTTTGCAACATACCAAAAGTTGTGGCAAA